ACGACACGTTGATTAGTCGCAATGGAAACAATAATGCTTCGTTACCTACATGCCTAACATCTCCGCTTAATCCTTGTTGTTAATATTGACAAATAAAATAATTAATTAAATTTCTTTGATAATCTATAGTGCGTGCCTTAGACGCTACATCATTAACCTATGCGTTATATACACTTAATTTAGTGCAAAATTTCTAATAATCTGTACAAGAGATTTTTCACAAATTCGTCGCTTCGATTAATATATCTGTCGTTCGTTATATCAATGACTTTTATCTCAATTAAATTCAATTTTTAAACATCCCTATTCTTTCATCTAAATATATAATTTTATTAACAATTTGATAAAACTTCTCTTCGTCTAACCAATATTATAATCAATTTTAAACTCGATATGGAAAAAAGAAAGCTTCAAGGAGTAATTAAAAAGCTCTTATTCAGAAATGTCGCCAAAAGTTATAAAAACGAAAAAAAAAAAATTATAATTATCTATCCGATCGTGTGCTATCGTATACGAATTCTTTTAAGTTATTTATCATGTGCCAATAAATACACACATACGTCACATCTGACAGCATATTCAATTATTATCAAATAGAATTATCCGGTCAACTCCCGTATAAGTAAGAGTTTTGTAATTATAAATATACATACACGATACAAAATATCTACACAGCAGAAATGATTAAAATATCGTTACACTTTTCAAAATTGGCTTGTAACGTATGATAAATCTTATTTTTACTGTATAAATTATAATAGCTTCGAGTGGTCGGGACTGTGAAGTTTTGTATATTTAAAATCAGTCATTAAAGTGGGCAATATTAGAATTAGTAATTTAATGTTCGCCGCTTATCGAAGAAAAAAAAAAAAAAAAAAAAAAAAAAAAAAAAAAAATCTTCCAGACAGTAGTATTAATCTTGAATTTGACGGCATAAATGTCAAACAACAGCCATTGATTGCTAGATACATGGATGATAAATATATATTCAATTGTAAATGGCGAATCTGCAGATATTAGACGAGAACTATCTTTGCTCAGTTACATTCATAGTAAGGAAAATCTTTGTGTAAGTATTACCGTCGAGGATGCGCTTTTAAACGCGATCTAACCCATCCCACAATTACCCAATAAACTAATGCTGCAAACAAAATGTAAAACATAGTTACTCGAGGAAATTTTACGTAATGTCATCATATAAAGTATTTGTAATTTTGCACAGACAATTCAGACTAGCGTTCTCATCGTCAAAGCACATGCACCTATTAATATTAGGATAATGTTTACGCAATGTAAATTGATTATAAATCGCCCAAGTAGGAAAAATAGTACAACAATTAACGTACAAATGGAGCATTTCCAAAATTATAATATGAAGCTCGAAAGAGAATACGGCTATGTAGAACAGTAAATCAACCTCGTTGCAATATTATTTAATTATATAGCTATAGTACTCGTGAGACACTATAACGAAATTCTTATAGAAAAGCATAAATTACGATGTTGACAGGAATCTGATGCATATGATGACAAATGTCGATTATGAACATTTATAATTGCATTAGCGTAAAATTACGAATGTAAGACTACGAAAGACCATAGACACTAATAATGAAAACTCGTAGGAAAAATCTATTAAAATTATATCATAAGATATACTTGTCTCGATATTGTCCTAATTAATTTTAATTTAACTTTTTGAAACCAATGAAAAGTATCGTTGGAGATGGTGAGCAATTTTTTTAACAATTATTATTATGCATATATCTACTCATCTACTTAACTAATCATACTCTTTGAGAAAAGCATTATGCAATCTATAGTAAGTTTCTGTAATTCTAATAGGAGATTTTGTAATTATATAATCGCCATTAGTTATCTATCTACATATTTATACATTTCTAGACCCACGTGATGTATGTATGATGGATTTACCTTAAAATAATTCGTTAAAACAAAATAAAAAAGCCATTTGAATGATGCGACCGTATCTATAAGATACTTAACTGGATATTTATAAAATTTCAACACCTACAACATGGATGATGGATCCAGTATCAATTTCAAAAATAACTTTACCAAATCGTCGTTTTCAAATCCCACTTCGACTTTATAGACATCTAAGAGGAATGACAATGGAAACAACAACAAAATTTATTAATAAATTTATTTAAATTATAATGATAATCACAACTTTTTTCTTCTTTTTCTTTAACACAAATATGAAAAAGACAATATAAAAGTTTACAATATAATTTCTGTAATATAATTCCGAGGACGTTGTTTTTCCACATACGGCCAACTCGCATATTAAATCGTCTAATGTAAAATGATTAATGAAAATTTATAAAGTCATGTTAAATGTTTAAAGTCAATTGTCGAACTGATGAAATTCTTTCATACATGATATACATGATAATGCCGAGGAAGTGGTAAATCCACGCTAAGGTTAGTCAATTTAATCAATACACCAAGATTTTATATCGAGAAAATTCCACTT